GCATCCACTCACATGCAGATATAACCACAAACCCTACCTATACTCTCACACACATCTATACCGTCATTCAAACTTCCTACACACACACGGTTTTTTGAGAAAACATATTTACTCTTATATTAATTCATATTTACTTACATTATACTTATCTACTAGAAGACAAATTAAATCTTTGAGCATAGCTTCCCCACAGTTATCGCAGAGCAAAAAAAAAAAAAAGAGAAGAAGAAAGTAAAGTTTCCTCTTCGGCTACTTTGTAGAGTACAGCTTCCTACACTGAGGACGTGTATTATTCGTAGGGTAAATCCGTCACGTAATAGATACCTAAACACCCTGAGGTTTTTACACACAGCGGTAATTAAGCAGTGAATTCAAGGAGGAAAACAGATTGTTTTCTTAGCAATAAAAGCTTCATTTGGAATGAAGAGTATACTCACTACAAGGAGAAAGGCAGATTGGTTTTAACCACATTCATATTAAATACCCTAACATGCTTCTAACAGGTGAGCATGGAAAAGTACAAAATGGCAGTCTCCTGATTTAGAGATATATTTTTCATCTCTGACATTATAATATTTAATAAAAGAACTACATAGGCTATAGCTGCCCTTTTTTATGTTATTTTTGCAATTCTTATTGCATTCCTAATGGAAAAGAGTTCAGTATCATTAGTGAGATATGCAAAAATATGCAGAATTTTACCCCTAAGGAGATTATGCTTCAAATTCAGGCAAAGGGGCTTAACATAATAGTGTACTAATAAGTTAGCTCTCTGCATTCAAAGATTTAAACTTTTGCTCTGCCACCTTCGGTTGGATCTGGATTTCAAATCACAGCAGTATATCTGCAGTTCTTAAATCTTAATTAGCCTGGCAAGCAGACATGCCTGCCCCCAGGTAAGACACAAAACAAAATAAAAAAAGTGGACTCATGCGTCACACATTGTGTTATTCAGGAAGGCATACAGAGGAAACATATAGGTCCTTATCCTTCTCCATCACTGCCATAAAGAAGTTTCCATCAGTGTTGGCTGAACTCTAATGTGTAGTGCAAAATCTGTGTAAGTTGGGAGCGCTGGAGTACAAATGAATTAAACGGGACTGTACTTGCCTCCAAGGATGAAGACGATATCATCAAGACAATACAGAAATGGGTGATTTTCTGAGAAGACCCAATGCCCGGCAAAGGCAAGATCTACCTTTGTGGTAATTATGTCTTTATTGTCCTATAGGAGACATTTGTGTGTGTGTGTGTGTGTGTGTGTGTCAAAGAAGGGATACCTACTGGAATAGAAAGATGAAATTTTTATGTTTCTCCATATTCACTGTGTACACGTTAGGATTCAAGTTTTTTCAACAAAATGGGATAAACTTAAATCCTTGGCAATAGGTTGCAGTCCTGGGATCCTCCTAGGAGAGTAGCAACTGCAACCTTTCACATGGTGAGCAAAGCAGAGGACGCCGAAGGAGTAAATAGCAAAAATAACTATATTTCTTGGGAGACGAGAAATTATTGAATCCAATGATATGAAGTGCGTAAATGTATGGCTTATCTCACTATACATTTTTTCCACTCCAAAAATAATACCTTGTGCAACCTTAGAGAGGCTTATTCTGAAGACTTGCTTATTTTCATCGGTGAATGATTTTACAGAGTGAAATATCGCGAAGCGTTTTAAGATTGCATTCACTTTGTATGTTGCTCCTGATATACAAAATATATCATTTCTAAAAGTCAAGGTTTTTTTATGTAATAGACTTGGTTCCCCAGTAGAGTGAACTTTTCATGAAAGCTGGGTATAATTGAGTTTTCTTTCATGTCTTTAAAGCTTTTTAAAATTCATGAATTTTCTTATCATTTTTGCAGCAAAAGTATTTCCAAATCCTTTTAGAATTTTGTGTTTAATATTAACATATTTAAAATGTTATAGAAATAGTTAGAGTGGAATAAATCTTACATAAGAAAGTATTTGATTTTTGATGCATTTTAATGTTACAAATAGGTCAGTTATTCCTATTAAATCAGTTCCGTTACCTGTCACAGAGCTGTCTAGATTGTCCATACTGGATCCAGGTGTCTGCTCTAGTGCTCTCAGGGGCCGGGGGATTTCTAAAGCTTCCTCCTCATCATCAGCATCATCATCTGGAACATCTGTTTCCAAATCGGAAATCAAGGCTCCGGACATGTAACCTAATGGTGGAACCGGGGGCTGTGGAGGTTGATTATTGCTTTGAATGTGCCTAGAATTCAAATGGGGGAAAAAGGGAATTTATTAACATCCTACAAGATTAGAATTAAACAGCATGTGATGACGACTCATTTTATCTTCCTGCCTTCTGCTAACTAATTTTGGAGCTTATGGTGCTTTCTTACGTTTCAGCAGAGACAATGGGCTATGTATACATGACTAGTTCAAACAACAACAGTGTAGACTGTTACACCCTTCCATTGGTATTTATGGGATAATATACAGAGAAAAAATACAGACCCAGCATTTTTGTGTAAATAAATCATCCAAAGGAGACTATGAGTATTTGCCACAAATAACTCCTTAAAGCAAATTTTTTTTTGGTCCCAAAAGAATATAATAATTTTGTTTACAGTTTAATGTCAAAATTCTACTCAGCATGTGTGGTCCATGTGACCTGCTGGCCCTTATGAAGAAAAAAATGTCACATGAAGTGTTAATACCAATAACCCTTCTCCCAGACAGGAGCACATTGCCTGCCCTACAAGGTTTTCTTCCAACACATCCCCCATGAATCAGGCTGGGTGGTTGTTTCAACTTTAACCCAGTTTAACGTAGGAATGGTTCCTTTATGTTCTAGCTTCTTATTTGTGCCTCTGTTTTAGCCCCCAAAATCTAAAACATCTCAAATATAGAAAAGATTCATCTGAGCACTCTCTGTGTTTGAAACATGAGGTGTGCTAAACACACCCGTTGCAATGCATGTGTAACTTCAATCTCAACCTTGTGAAGTAGACAGAACTTGTATTATCACCTTTGTCTTAGAATCTATTAAAGTTCCAACTTAAGTGACTTGTTTCAAATGGCATGGCTAGCAAAATGGAGAGCTGGACACTGGGGTTCAGTTGATTTATTTTGTGACTACTTAAGAGTTTCTTCTAAATTATAAATGCCATGATATAAAGGAAAGTCATTGCTTTTTGTTACTGTCATTAAGGAGTGAATACACCACATATCTTAATAATTTTTTTTAAAAAATCTCAATACTAAGTATTTAAAAGATGTAGGCTACTTAAGGCACATGTAAGTCAAGTGTTATGCATTTTTACCCTAAGTTTTTGAATTAAAGATACAAGATGATTTTTAACACTTGCATTTTTGGAGAAAATATTTCATTCTTCCAGAATTTGTTTAACATTCCTCTCCCAACTGCATTCTTGAACTGGCAACCAATTCCAATGTTAACAACATTTTAAATCTTTCAATGTTAAAAAAAAAACAAACCCTAAGATGTTAGTTCTAGGAGACACATTTTTAATTTAACAGATCAGGAATCTGAGGCCCCAAGTCTTTATCTGACAGTCATCATAGCTCATTCATGCAAAATCAGGAAGTTTCTAAACTACCAGTATAGAAAATCTTGAGTGTTGATGATGACATCTTGTAAATGTTGCCTCAAATTCTGTTTATGAATCGAGGATGGACTGAGTCCAGTCATGAGCAAGAGAATATAAGGTGATATTTATATACATGATTCATTCTCCTTTAATGGTGTGCACTTTTGTCCTGGAAAGGACCAAAGAAACCAACATTCCAGTCCTACATCATTGCTGACACCTCTTGATTGGAACAAATATACATTAAGGCGTAAAATGTAATCCTTGAGTTCAGCAAGAGGAGGAGATAAACTGAAATAGGAAGAGGGTGCAAAATATCTATAAATCTCTTGTAGTGATGAGCACAGTGCTATGCACTGCATGGGTCAATATGAACAGACTCCCTGGAGGTGGAGCCTGGGAATTAGCATTTTTTTAAAATGCTCCTCCCGTGATATTGATGTGCAGCTCAGATGAGGAGGGCATTCTGTTCCTGAAGGTTGAGATTCTGTGCGAGCACAGACAGGCTCATAACTTTTACAAAGGGCGTCACTAATGACACCCTGGAGGATTGTTGGACTGAACAAAAACATACTCAGCGAAAGAAACAGGGTTTGCCCTATGGGTACCTGGAGCAGGTGGAGAACTAGTTTGTTCACCCATTTAGCAAATCTTTATGCAACACTCACAAAGGGTAGTGCCCTTCTAAGAGTGGAAAGACAGCAATGAACAATTCAGGTGAAAACCCGAGCCATTCTGAATAATAACAGCTATAATACAGCTAGATACTAGACTAGGTCCTGTGTAAGAGCAAGCTCATTTAACTCTTTTTTTTTTTTTAAGATTTTATTTTTAAATAATCTCTACACCCAGCATGGGGCTGGAACTTACAACCCTGAGATCAAGAGTTGCATGCTCTATCAACTGAGCCAGGCAGAATTCACTTAATTCTCACAAAAACTGTGATGAATAATAAAGAATTTGACTTTGCCCAAAGAGAACTTAAGCTTTTGCTTTGTGCTCCAGGGAGGTAATTTCTCTCTAAGTTTTAGAATGTCCTATCTGATAGAAGTGTCTTTGTTCACCTGGAGACCTTAGGCTTCTCCAGAAAGTCTAACAATGTGATTTATGGTAGGGGCTTTCAGTCACATGGTATCAGCTAGTCTTCTGGAGGGGCTAGAGACTGAGATCAGCCATGCAGATAGCCAACCATGTCTATGTGACAAAGCTGCAAGAGAGACCATGAAACTCAAGGTTCATATGAGCTTCCCTGATTGGCAATACTCCATGCATATTGTCCTATGTTGTTGCTAGGAAAGTAATGCTTTCCACAAATCCACTGGGAGAAGACAACTGGAAGTTCTAGCTTTGGAACTTTCCTGGACTCTGTCCTTTGCATCTTTTCTCTTGGCAGATTTTAATCTGTATCTTTTCAACATAATAAACCATAACTTTCAGTGTCCTGGTATTCAATGAGTTCTACGGCTCCTTCTAGTGAATTCTTGGAACCGAGGGTGATCTTGGAGACTGTGCTCTCACATCGTATATGAGCTAATTGGTATGAGCATTATCATTTTACAAATGGGGGTGGAAGCACACAAAGGTTAAGCAAGTTGCTCACTGTCATACAGCTGGTAAGTAGCGATCTGGAATATCAGGGGTGGTGCTTAGATAGCACTATATTTTAAAGTTATCCTGGTGATTCCAAAATGCAGGCAAATTTGAGAACACCTGAGCTAGAATCTGTGCCTTAAATAACTAAAGTACCTGGTTGCATTAGTTAATCTGAAAGAAATCTTTTGGCTCTTAAAGCAGTGGGCTTCAACTTAAATAGTGGTATTTTATGAAGTAGCCTGATGCAAAAGAATACTGTTTTAACAGTAGATTGAGGCCTTTGAGAAAACATCGGATGACTGAGAAAAAAAAATGTTCAGAAACCTCTGGTTCTAAGAAAAGATCCTTATGTTCGTAATAAGCTTTATGTGATTGGGCTGGTTTTAGTATCTCTGTATATTTTGCTGTGTTTTTAAAAGAAAGATTTCATTAACACTGAGAATGAGATTCATCTCATTATCAAGTATCCTAGTATCTAAAACTATCAGAAAGAAAAGCAAATTCTATTTTATAAAAAAATTAATTTCAATTACATCATGGAAATCAATAGAAGATAATCAGAGGTATGCCATTGAGATTTCAAGAGTCAGACTTACATGTCATTATTTGGGAGAAAAGAGAGCACATTAGAGAACTTGTACAAAATTGTGAGAGCTCATCCCACTTGTATTCTTTCCATGCTTGCACAGGATACCTAAGTAGATTGCCATCTCTACCTTAGGAAAGGGTGTGGATTGATTAAAAAAAAAAAAGGAATTTGGGATTTGTAATTTATTCTAGGTTTTACTTTTTAATGCATCTACTAATATTGCTGTTTTTTCTCTGTCTCATTTAATTCAGCCCAAGGATCTTTTAATAACTGACACTGACCATATGTGATTTGCAGAAGCTTACATTTACATATTCACGACCACATACAGAATTAATCACAGGCACTTTGAAGAATTTAAAAGGAGTCTTTTACTATGGCATTGGAAATGAGTTCAAGGATAAGCTAATTGAAGCTAACCTGTAAATTAGATAAGATTCTGGTGTAGCCAAAAGCAGTTTAGCCTGAAATTCAGCAGATCTGAATTCTTGCTCCGGTTTACTCTTTAACCAGTTATGTGACTTTGATCAAATTATTTAACGTTTCCTTAGCCAATTTCTTTATCCAGATGATTAATGAGTTGCACAAAAGTACTTCTAATCCCAGCTGTATTGTTCTATGAGAACTTCTTGTGACTATATCGTAAAAGAACATTTTTTCTATCCCTGTGCTGAAGGCTTGGGTCCCCTGACCTAACAAGAATATTTACCATGTTTGCTTGGCTATATCAAACTGATAGGCTCTTGTCAACTCGTCCAGGTGAGCTTGCAGCATGGGCTGCATCTCTTCCCGTGGGGATGGTGTAAGAGTTGCAGTAGACTGCTGTCCAAAGGAAATAGCAGGAGAAGAAGCCACGCCTCGGACAGGAGGTGTTGGGACACGATCATCATCTTCTTCCAGTTCATCTTCCATACCCTGGTGTAAGTATGTTTGTACCGGTAATGGCGGGCACCAGCTATCACTGTCATACCTGGAGTTTAATGAGAAAAAAAAAAGCATATTGACACATAGACATGTACACATGCACACAGTGATACTGGCAACACATAACAACCACAATGGGAACAACAGCACCCACAATGTTCTCTCAGTTGATTTCCTCCTGATTTCAATTTGTTGGTGATACCACAGTAAATCACCTGGTTGTTATCTTAATTTCTAATCATAATGACATCTGCTATCTCAATATCTCAATTTATTCTCGGAAAATCTTATTAGCTAATTGTTAACCCACAGTTACAAAAGGCAATAACTTCCCAACAAAGTTACTTACGTGGAAAAACCAAATTGCTAATTAAAGACAATTAATGAATTAATTTAGTGCTCGTAGATTTAACTGTTTTCCTCTGCTGTTCATCCATACCAAACAGAATATGACAATATTGATCATCAAAGAAGTGTCTGAGAGTTTTACTTACTCTTATTCTAGATCTATGCCAACCTTTCAGTCCATATGACATGTCAATCATTAACACTTTGTGTTACAAAATGTATTCAATGGCCCTTTAACGCTTTTAATTCTCTAATTTCCTCAGTGGAAACTCATGCCTCATGCCTCCCTGTATCTCGACATCTAAAATCTATAAAACAGAAGTTCAAAAGCTAGCCTGGTAAAATATATATTAAAAAGGAAAATAATAATTTATAAAAACAGTGTGTTTTTAAGGACTCTGGTCAGGGAATATAGAAAATTAATCCAAACAGTTTTCATTGTGATAAAACATCAGTGGCATTTCTATTTACATCTTCTCCATATACTATTATTTTCATTAATCAGAAAGATCCTAGTGTACTTTTAAAGGAAAACCTAAGGATAGGATAAACAATATTATTGAATGTAACTGTCCTATAAATTCCACTTCTTAAATATGTGTGGAATCTCCTATTTCACCTCTACTTCCATAATCACAGATCAGAATCATTTTGATGTGAACTAGCCCTTTAGCATTCCTAGTCTCCTGTGACGTCATCTTCATCTCTTTTATCCTACCTTCCAGACAATGGGATTATATTTCTAAAATCTTCATTCACATTACACTGTGCTTTGAATTATTCAGTGATTATCACTAATATAAGAAAAAGTTCAAATTCATTAGCAGGGCCTAAAAGACCCTTCCCCATCTGATCAACCCATCTTTCTAGCTTAATTTCACACTATTTCCCCAACATCAGCCTACTGTGTATTTTTTTCTAAACTCTGGCTCTCTATATAACTATTCTCAAATCATCTGCCTGTGAACTCCTGCTCTTCCTTCAGGTTCAATTCAAATGCCATCCGTTTTGTGAAGTCTTCTCTGCCTCCACCATATGGAATTGATCACAACTCTAAAATACTTACATTGTGGTACTCCCCATATTATAACGGGATTATTTTTTTAAGATTTTATTTATTTGAGAGAGAGAGAGAGAGAGAGAGAGAGAGAGCACAAGCAGGGGGAGTGGCAGGCAGAAGGAGAGGGAGAAGCAGGTTCCCTGTCAAGCAGGAGGAGCCCGATGCATGACTCAATCCCAGGACCCCAGGATCATTACCTGAGCCGAAGGCAGACACTTAACTGACTGAACCACCCAGGTGTCCCTGTTGGGATTATTTGTTTCTGTTTTTTCCTACTGTTCTATGAGATCTTTAAATTCAAGAACTCTAATTCTCAACTTTGTGTTTCCAGCACCAAATACAGTATCTAGTATGTAGAAGATTTCATTAAAGAAACTAAAAATCAAATGACTATTATAAATATATATATACGTATTACAAGTGTATCCTCTCCCTTACAAATGCTAACTTATAAATGTCCAGATGATTTTTGAATATTTTTACTCAAGTGTCTTTACTTACTTTGTTTAAAACTGAATTTATTTAAAAACCTATACACGGATGTTTGTAGCAGCTTTATTCATAATTGCCAAAACTTGGAATCAATTAAGATGTCCTTCAGTGGGTAAATGGATAAATAAACTGTGACAAAATTCACCGAGAGGCCAAATTCTAAGGTTCTCCAGATAACGGAATATTATTTAGCGCTAAAAAGAAATGAAACATCAAGCCATGAAAAGAATTGGTGGAAACTTAAATGCACATTACTAAGTGAAAGAAGTCCATCTGAAAAGTCTACATACTGCATAATTCCAAGTATATGACATTCTGGAACAGGCAAGACTATGGAGACAATAAAAAGATCAGTGGTTGCCAGAAGTTAAGGGAAGGGAGGGATGAGTAAGCAGAATATGGAGGATTTTTATGACAAACTGCTCTATATGACATTATAATGGTAGATATATGTCATTATACATTGGTCCAAGCACATGGAATGTACACCACCAAGAGTGAATCCTAATTGTAAACCATGGACTTTGGGTAATATTTATGTATCAATGTAGGTTCATCAATTTAAAAGTGTATCTGTCACTTTAGTGGGAAAGTAGACAGTGGCAGAGGCTATGCATGTGTGGAGGCAGGGAGTATATGGGAAATCTCTGTAGTTTTTGTTCAGTTTTGTAGTTAACCTGAAACTGATCTAAAAAATAAAGTCTATTTAAAAAATCCTTGAGTTGACCATCCATTTATTTGACAACCATGTGTCAGGAATCTGCATCTATTTACAGAGCAGGAAATCCAGTAGGGCAGACTGATACCAAGCAAATAATCAACAATACCAAGTACTACAGGAATAAGGAGAAAGTAGGCTGAAACTAGTTTGGGGGTAGGGCAAAGTTATGCTGACTACAGGAAAAGGGGATATTCTAAAGGGTGGCCCAGAGAAAGAGAAAAGATAACAGTATTTGAAGAACTCAGATAGTTTCATAACTGGTAAGAGCCAACAAATAAAGAGAGTTGGCCATAGTTGAGGCAGGGGAGGTGAGGATGTGCCAGATCACACGGGGCCTCATCAGCCCTGAGAAGGACTGTATGTGATGGATAGGCACTGAGAGGCTTTTTACAGGGAATAAACCTCATCATCTGTGGCTGTTCAATTTTCCTCTCTTGTTGAGGCTCCCTGAATAATCTACCTCGGTGAGCTGTGAACTGAAGAGCTTGTTTCAGCAGCCCCATACACTCTGATAGGAATATCTCTTCCAAAATGTCCTTTATACTGTAGTATAAACAGGCACACTTTAATATGTTATAGATAACAATTCTTATATACTAGAAAATACCATTGTTTAAACTTGTATTCCCATCAAATAACTATGTAAGTACCAATCAGACCTGAAAAAAATACATTGCTCCAAAATGATGCCATTTTGATCTGTTTCATATGTTGGAGATCATAGTTAGATTTCATTAAAAAAAAAAAAGATTCTCTTGTGTACAAAGTTTGCCACCCATGGTCCCAGTTGGATTCAGTGCTTCCAGTTTTTCCCATCCACTAATCAATCCTTCACATCACTTACAAATTGGTCTATGAAAACCTCAGAATTGTTTGAAAAAAACATTCACTTCTGTTCATTCTCTTCTGTCCACTAAATATGTCTAAGCCTCAACCTGCCTTTTTAAATGTTTTTTTTCCAGTTTCTCAACAAGAATTTTCTACTCAAAATAAATTGATTTGTTTTCTTCATCATCATCATCTTCTTCTCTTTCTTCAGTACTTTTCCATTGTGGTCCATTAGCTTCAGGTATTCAACTTATTTTGAACGAACCGTACTTCTCCAGTTTCACCTACCTTAATCTTACAAATCCTTCAAGCTACAGGTTATATCCCATATCTTTTATAAAGATTTCCCAGATGAGGCCAACTAGCACTGATACATTACTCTTCTGACTTGCACTGACATTTTTGCACATTTACCTGAAAATTGATTATACGCTATGTTATGCCATTTCCAATGTTGGTTTCTTTAACTATTGTCTAATTTATTTGAGAATTTAACCTTTCACATGTTAATAGTAGCTTTTCCTCAAGTGGATTTTTTAAAATTTTATTTATTTTTTATTTTTTAAAGATTTCATTTATTTATTTGAGAGAGCGAGAATGAGAGAGAGAGAGAGCACATGAGAGGGGGGAGGGTCAGAGGGAGAAGCAGACTCCCCGCTGAGCAGGGAGCCCGATGTGGGACTCGATCCCGGGACTCCAGGATCATGACCTGAGCCGAAGGCAGTTGCTTAACCAACTGAGCCACCCAGGCGTCCTCCTCAAGTGGATTTATGCTACATTAAAATTATGACATTGAATTACTCTCGTTTGGCCACACCTGACACAATACTTTAAAAATAGTAGATGATAAGCCTATTTATTGATCTGAAATGGAAACACACAAATTGATTCATTAATAAGAATGCTTATGATTTGATGACATGGATAGAGGTAGAGAGCATAAAGCTAAGTGAAATAAGTCAGTCAAAGATAAATACCATATGATTTCACTCACATGTGGAATTTAAGAAACAAAACAAATGGGCAAAGGGAAAAAAAGAGAGAGAGAGAGAGAGAGAGAGAGAGACAAACCAAGAAACACTCTTAATTATAGAGAACTAACTAATGGTTACCAGAGGGGAGGTAGTGAGGGGAAGGGTGAGATAGAGAACAGGGACTAAGGAGGGCACTTGTTGTAATGAGGACTGGGTGGTGGATGGAATTGTTGAATCACTATATTTATTATACGCTTGAAACTAATATAACACTATATGTTAACTACATTGGAATTTAAAATAAAATAAAGAATGCTTAGGTTTCTTTTATTTATTTATTTGACTTTAAATGTTATAAAGTCAAACACAAATATGAATAAGAATCCTAAAAAACAAAAACAAAACAAAACAAAAAAAAAACCTGCCCATTTTCAGTATGGAATGTGAGTGCTATTATACTTCATCAATAGTTATAATTAAATTTCCTCCATAAAATATCACATTTTCCCCCATAAACCAGAACATGTATTTCCTCTGTTTACATGGCTTATTGCAAAGGATTTCCTACATTTGAATAAAGAAAGAACAAATTATATATTCAATCTTTCAAATGGAAGTAGTCC